CCCACATCAGTGATGTTCCTGCCCACTTTTGGTGACAAGGTCTGGCCTTGGGGCTGTTGTCAGATGCTCAGATAATAGCAGATTTTAGCAGGGTTTGCTCCTCTGCCACCCCTTGTGTGGACAGGAGGTCACCAGCCAGCCTAAGGCAGGCAGCTGACATGGCAAGGTTAAATTCCTGCTGCTCAGGAATCACATCCTAAGACAGAATTGTTTCCTTCCCTCCCTGCACAGGCACTCTGCTGGTCTCCTGAGCCTGGCAAAAAAGACATCAGTGCAGGGACAATAAAAAGCTCTTTCTTTGCTGAGGAAGAGGTGCCCAGTGTCATATAGAGGAGGGCAAGTCCAAACACTGGAAAAAAAAAATCCTTCAGGGTTTGCTTGTCCATATCCCTTTGTCCTTCAGTATCACATTCCTTTTTATCTGCATTGAGATATGCATTGGACAGGTTTTTCTCACTGTGCCTGAGTCCCACACAGTGAGAATTCATCCCAACAAGCCCAGTGGTGTGGAATGGAAGCCTGGGAGATGACTGTGGCTAGCAGGGGCCTACCTCCAGGACTGGGCATCTGGGTGAGCTTTTCAGGAGTAGCCACAGAATTTAGAAACCTGTGCCACAAAATGACCCAAGCAGCTGAGAGTTCATGTTTTATGGGAATTACAGGGCCTACAAGAATTAGTCATGCATCTGGCCACGCCAGCTGGTGTCCAGCAGAGGAGTCAGACATTGAAGTGCTTTTGAAGAGCTCCTGAGATAGTTGTTGGTGTGATAAGGATTCCGAGCCACCTTGTAAGTCTGGTGTCAATGGTGTCTCCGTTTCAAAGACGTGTTTAAAAAATGCTGCCTTATGTATCAAATTAAAACATGAGGCAAATTTACCTCCTGGAAGGAAGGAATTCACACCAAAACCAAAGCCTTCACTTTCAGGCTTCATGTTTTTTGGGGAAATCAGCTCCTCTCCATATTAGCAGCCACTCTCTCAAACCCAGAGCTCTGGGCACTTTCAGCTGCATTTAGAATGGTTTGGGTTGGAGGGTCCTTAGAGATCATCTCCTTCCACCCCTTGCCATGTGCAGGGGTATGTTCCACTCAGGCAGGTTGCTCCAAGCCCTGAAATCTGAGATGCTGATGTGAGTATTGAGTGATTTCTGTGTCTCCTTGCTCGTTATGCCCTGTTCTGAGCCCATGCAGCAGCAGCAAAGAGCAAACAGCACAAAACAGCCAGCTGGGTGACACAGGGAAGCAGGATTTGGTCTGGACTGGCAGATCTTTCTTTGTTGAGTGCCTCAAAGAGCAGTGACTACACACAGCCCCCTCCTCTGAGACCCTGGCCAGGCAATTGGAGCCTGCAGGACTGGGGCTGGGGAATTATTGTTATAACAGGTAATTTATTAAAGACAGGAAATGCTTTATAAAAAGAGGAAGAGCCATTTCCATGAGAACAAGATCTTCTAGTGTTAGACAGTAATTGACAAAAGTTGTAAACAAGGCCTGTGGAAGGCTGTAAATCCCCATGCCTCACACCGCTGGAAGCCTTTAATTGCTCTGAGGGAGCAGGACATGCTCGGGGAGGCTGCTTATCTCCCAGCCCTCTGTGGGCAGATAGGGATGCTCCAGCCAAGGCACTGGCACTGGATGCAGCTTGGGTGATAAAGGATCACAGGAGGTGAAACTGCCTCGTGCTCCAGCTTCCCTCTGCACCGAGTTCTGTGTTCCCAACCTGCCTGACACGGTTCATGGAAGTGCTGCCTCTCATTTTGCCACTCCTGTAGGTTCAGCTGGAATATGTGAGCCCTGTGTGGGACTTACCCCGCTTGGCAGCAGAGCTGCAGGACTGGTATAACAGGATCTCACAGATCTGGGCTGTGAAGGAGCTCTGCCAGAGTTTTCTCACTGGGAATCAACCCCACACACACACAACAGAAGTGCCCCTGACCCCAGCACGTTTTGGGGAGCGACTGTTGCAAGCAACAAAAATCCCGTGATTTACCTGAAGCTCAGAAAACGCTCCCCATGCCAGCACCCTCCAGCACCAGGGAGTTCAAAGGAGCGAGGAGGATGAAAGAAAATAGGGATGTCCCATCCTGTCTGCATCCCAAAAGCAGCTCCTGGGTGCCTGGAGCCAGCCCCAGCCTCCCTCAGCCACTCACGGTGTTGTAGTATTCTGCAATCACCGCCGAGCGCTCGAAGTTGCCCTCACACCAATCCACCTCGGCACTCTGGTAGGAAAATATGCTCGGCATCCTCAGCACCTTGGGAAAAAGCAGAGGAGCAGGTCAGTGGTGGGCACAGGGGAGGAGAGGGCTGCACAGCCCAAGGGGACCCCGCTCCTCACGTGTGTGGCACCAGCCAGCCCAGCACAGCGCCTTACCCGGCTACCAAGGGCTCATCCTCTTCCTAACACACATCCTACTGCTCAATAGTTCCTCTCTGCTCTCGATGCAGGAGTTGCAAATTGCCCCAGAAAATGCTCTTGGACTCTGAGGATGGTCACCAATCCATGGCATTAACATCTCTTGTCAGGTGCTGTTGCTGCCACATGACGCTTCCCCATTTCAGCCCAGTCCTGGTCACCTCTTCTCCCTTCTCCTCACTTTCTTTATGACTCAGACCTTCCTGCCAGGAAGATTTCCCTGTGCTCTGTGAGTTACCTGTGGGGAGTGGACAGCCCTGCAGAGGCTGGTGCTCATTGGCTCTGTTCTCCACTGTCGTTCCTCAGCATCTTCCCGAGGGCTGGAATTCGGCTCATGGGAGCTCAGGCCTGGAGCACCAGCACAGACCCTGGGCATTACTGGAGTCCTGGGGCACTGGGAGCACTGGGAGGTGCCTCTTTCCTCTGAATTGAGTTTCACTTGGGGTGCACTCCCAGGCAATCTCCACCCTGGTTTACCAGTGAAAGGGATCGGAGCTTGATGCCTCCAGTGGGTTCTCCACTGCCAGACCCAGCCTCTGGTAGCACTGCAGCTACAAATGGGACTCCAAACAAAAACAAAGTCTAACCTTCTGCCTCTTTGTTTTCCCCCATGTTAAAGACTTTCCTGTCCTCATTGTTTCTCAGCCCTCTGTCATTAATTTGATAAAGCAGTTCTGATCTTATTTTGATCAGAAGTTTCCTATTTGGTATTTTTTTTTTCAGATCCTTGCGACTTTAGAGCTGGTTTTGAAGACAGGTACCAAGAAGCATCACCAAACCCATGGTAGCTAGATTTTTGGTAGAAAACAGAGACAGAAATTCCCTGGAGCTGAGCAGTTCAGTTCCTGGATGTGGTGTGGGACTAATCCAGCCAGCCTTGCTGCTCCAGCCCTGCAGAGTGAGCAGGTTGTGGGTGACACTTGGCAGGTGACACTGCCTCAGTGGCACCTCTGAGCTCCTGAGACACTGGTGGCAAACAGCTTTTCTTTGAAAACCTTTTCAGCTCTAATGCAGGGAAGGGAAGATTGTCTCAAACCCACTCATCAGCTGATGTTCTTGAGGAGAAGCTCGTTTGCAGTGGGGTGAGCTGAGCCACCGCCGTGTCCAGCAGTCCCCTGGGTGCAGCAGGGTGAGGCTCCCACAGCTTCCTCTGCCTCCCTTCCCGAGTTCAAAGGGAGAAAACACAGGAGTGTGACACAAACGAGCTCTTCTGCAGCTCCTGCTCTGACCAGACAGACCGACTCGAGGGTGAGCTCCGCTGCTAACGATGGCCTCTCCTTAATGCAGCCTGGCTGCTTCGCAGAGCAGCTGAGATCACAGCCACAGGAGCCAAATAGGTGGCAGGCAGAAGGGTCTGAGGGCTGACTCTTCACACTCCTGGGTTTCCATGTGCTCCTCCACAGCACAGGGACTCTCTCCTCATCCCTCATCGCTTCTACAGCGATGCAAGGTGAAAAAACAATTGGAGGCAGGATGGCAAATCCCACCTCATGGCTAAAGAGATGTCAGTTGAGAGAGGGTGAAGGGATGGAGAGGCAGAAGAAGAAGGAAAAGAAGAGAAGAAAAAGAAGAAGGAGGAAAAGAAGAAGGAGAAGAAGAAGAACAAGAAAAAGAAGAAGACGGAGAAGGAGAAGGAGAAGGAGAAGGAGAAGGAGAAGGAGAAGGAGAAGGAGAAGGAGAAGGAGGAGGAGAAGAAGAAGAAGAAGAAGAAAAAGAACAAGAACAAGAACAAGAACAAGAACAAGAACAAGGAGCAGAAAAATGGAAGCAGTGATGGAGAGCCCAGCACTGGCTGCTGGTGTCTCCTCCCAGCCTGGCTTACCTGTGATCCCTGGATGGACCAGCACTGCTTCCACACTCTCTGGGAGCTCCAAGGTTTCCAGCAAAGCTGGAGCAGCAACCTGCCCTGCCGCTCTAGCTCCGAAGGAATGCCCACGGTGTGAGCTCAGAGCCAGCAGCCACCAGAAAATCCCCTCTCTCTGTCCCTAGGGAAAGAATTGGGATGGGACAGGAGTCATGTGCACCCTCCAGGCAAAGCTGGGTCCCCACAGGAAACATATTGGCTGGAGGGGTTTATATCTGTGCCCCCAGATGGGCAGGGGCAAGGAGGCAGGGCAGGGAAGCGTGAGCTGGAAGGGTTGGGAGAGCGGGGTGGAAATGCAGCCTGAAATCATCCGAGTGCCCCCGGGCAGGTTCCCTGCGCAGGCGCACGCACCTGGTCCTGGCCCTGCTTCTCCCAGGGGAGGGAACATCCACACTAACTCCCCTGCACATGGAGAAAACCCAATGTAAGGATTCTCATCAAAAAGTCTGGAGCAAGGTGATGCTGCCTCTTTCGGGATTTAAATTCAAGCCACTTGTCAACTTTTCCCCCAAATGCTGTTTTATTATTATCAAAAAGAATGTTGTTATCAGATCTCACTTCTTCTAGCTGGTTTATTTTGTTATTTAGTTAAAGAACTATGAATAGGACACCTTTGGGTGACTGCTTTGCAAATATTTTCCTCCTGGGCCTCATTCAGGCACTCAGGAAATTTGGCATCAATTAAACTTTTCCCCCCAAAACAACATTTTTTTCCTGCATGTAGAGTTGAGACAAATATGTTGTTTTCTTAAACATAAAACTTATTATTTGGCCACTTCTTCCTGGTTGAGACACCACAGGCAGGGTGAGACCAAGCTCTAAGGTGTTCCTGTCCCTGTCCTTGTCCTTGTCCCTGCACTTTCTGAAGAGTAGGGATCAAGCCTTTGCCATGGGGAGAAGCTCTTTGGGAATTTCAGCCATTTATTTTGCTACTCCTAAGAAAAAAAGCATCCCTGGGAGACCTGGGCTGTGCCAGGGCTTACAAAAGCCTCATAAATCCACCTGGCTTTGTAAATGAGGGTAATTACCACTGCAGCAGCAGCTGATGTTGCACCATGGTGGAGCCTCCGTTACATGTCACCAAGTCCAGGCTTAGTGTCCTCCTGGGACAAACTTGGAGCAGAGGACCCGAGGGGATCCCAGAGAGCTGCTCCCACCCCTGGATGGTGAAGGATCTGGAATGGATTTGCTTTTTATTCACTTGGAACTCTCAATGGACTCTGCAAGCAGGAGACGGAGCTCTCAGGCTGAAAGTTCCGCAGGGAATCTCACTGAGAAACAAGTGGTGACTTGCCCATCCCACTGAGAAGAGAGGCAGGGGAGGTGGCAGAGATGGATTTGGGAAGAAGAACCCACACAGGTGATGCCTGGTCTGTGTGAACATCTGTGAAAAGAATGTTTTCCCACCCCAAAATCTCTGGCACCCTTTGGGGTGAGCAAAGTGTCCAAGCATCCCTGCTACATCCTGTGCCACGCAGTGGGTGAATAACTGGGGAGGGTGTAATGGGTCTGCATGTCCCCTGATTCATCAATAACTAGGTCATAAAGAGAGCTTGGTTTCCTGCTGAGTCCTCATTCCACACTCCTGCTAATGTTTACATCCTCCTGCCTGTGGTCAGCAGGGCCTGGGATGCTGGAGATGCTGGAGATGCTGGAGATGCTGACATGGCAGTGGGCTGGGGACAGGAGGGTGCCCAGGGAGCACAGGGTGAAACTTCTGGGTCTTGAGAGAGTAACACAGAGACCCCCCCAGTGCTGGCTCTGCTGAGGCCCCACCTCAAATCCTGGGGGAAGTTTTGGGCTCCTCATGACAAGAAGGACTGGAAGGGGCTGGAGCATGTCCAGAGAAGGGAATGGAGCTGGGGAGGGGTCTGGAGTACCAGGAGCAGCTGAGGGAGCTGGGGAAGGGGCTCAGCCTGGGGAAAAGGTGACTCAGGGGGAACCTTGTGGCTCTGCACAGCTCCTGACAGGAGGGGACACTTGGTGGGGGTCAGGCTCTGCTCCCTGGCAACAATCAACAAGAGAAGAAGAAACAGCCTCAAGTTGCTCCAGGGGAGGTTTAGATTGGAAATTAGAGTCTTTTTCTTCACAGAAAGATTGTAAAGCATTGTAATGGGCTGCCCAGGACAGTGGTGGAGTCACCATCCCTGGAGGTGCTCCAAAGCAGTGTGGATGTGGCACTTGTGGACGTGGGTCAGTGATGAACTCAGCGACAATGCTGGGCTTGATCATTGTAAAGGTTTTTCCAGCCTTAAGGACTCTGTGATTCTAAACCTCCCTGTATTTGAAACTTCTTTCTTTTAAGGCTTCTCTGGAGTCCTCACCTCCTCGCTGAGCCCTGCTGCCTCCTCCCCACCTGGCTCCTCACGCCTCACATCTGCCCAGCTCAGCGAAGGTCAGTGACACAGGGACTGTCCTGTCCCCTCAGCTGCTCCCTTCCTGCTCCCTGGCACTGATGCCCTCTTGCAAGGCCCCACATCCCAGGCAATGTGCCAGGCTTTGTGACACAGGACAGGGTTTCACCTGGACAGCCTCATCCCAGCTCCTTTGCCTCTCTGTCACCCTGGGGCAGGTGCTGGGTACCGAGGATCTCACTGGGACAGCTGAGAGCAGGCAGTGGAACCACAATCCCAGATGGTTTGTGTTGGGAGGGACATTAAAACCCATCCAGTGCCACCCCCTGTGCACCTTCCACTGTCCCAGGGTGTCCCAAGTTGAGGCATGGAGCAGGAGCTGAACTGTTCACAGGGGCTGCACCAGTGGTTTCAGGGCCCAGCTGCCAAGCTTTTATAGCCGTGTACCCACAAGCCATGCTGGGCAGGCAGCTCTGCTGCTTCTGCTGCCAAAAACTGGGAAAGGGGGACTCTGGCAGGTGGTTTTAGGAGAATCCAGTTGCTTAACTTGAGGCTGGTCCTACCTGCTCTGTCCTGTGGCATTTTGGATTGAGATTTCCACCTGAACTGCTG